TCTATCTATCTATCTATCTATCTATCTATCTATCTATCTATCTATCTCCATCCATCCATCCATGCAACAGGATCTCAAAATTAATGCAATTTAAAAAAAATTGCAAGAAAAGTAAACAAACTCATGTAGAGCTGAGTGGGAATTACATTCAGAGGAAAATAAAGATAGGCCTTAACTTACAACCATCCTTTCAGTGACCATTCAAAGTTACAGCAGCACTGAAAAATAATGACTCAGACTTATGACCATTGCAGCATCCCATAATCACATGATCAAAATTTGGGTGGCTAGTACCTGGGATGAATTTATGACAGTTCCGCTGTCCTGGGATCATTCATCATCATTTGTCACCTTCCCAGCTGGCTTCCGACAAAGTCAGCGGAGGAAGTCAGGTTCACTTAACACCTTGCATGATTTGACAACTGCAGCGATTCACTTAACAACTGTGGCCAAAGAAGATCGTCCAATGGGACAAATGGGACTCATTTAACAACTGCCTTGCTTACCAATGGAAAATTTGGGGTTCTACTGTGGTCATAAGTTAAGGACTACCCATATTTTCTTTTCAAAAACAGTCTGTTCACCTTTATGTAGTAGGCTGGTTTCAATATAGGGAACAGTTAGGCAAGACTACTGCCGAGAATGGAAATGTATGCTATTTTAATTCCTTTCTATTCCAAAGAAGACAAACCACCTAAACCAGTGGTGGCTAACCTTTTTGGGCTCCTGTGCCATCTCTTGTGGCATTCACCTATGGAATAGTCTTAGAAATGAGTACTTCAACTCCCAGAATCCCTCAGTCAGCATACTGGCTGGGGAATTCTGGGAACCGAAGTCCAGACATCTTCATGTTGCTAAGGTTGAGAAACACTGGGTTATATAGTGCTTCCATTATTACATGACTATTTTCATTCTGTTTTTGGTTTTGTCTATAGAGATTTTATTGTTTTCTTGCCGACAGTTGTTAGCTGCCTAGAGTTACCTACTTAAGATAGCCAAGTACCCTTTCTAAATAAATAAAATGAATAAATCTCAATAGTCCGATGTCATTTATTCCACTTGTCTACAATAAAGATGTTGGAAGGACTGTCCAGCTACAGATGGAAAGCACCTGGGTGTGCCACCCTTTCCTTCCTTATTTCTCTTTTCTTCTGCACATATATTAATGTTTATACAACTTTGTTAAATATCTAATCCTAATCAATAAGTAACTAAAACCTCAAGTTGATGACATGCATTTTATATATCAGAGTAATGAAAGGGAATAAACTTAGTACTATATATTCTTGTTTCTCTTTTTGTTTTGCAGAGGTATTAATGTTGATGCAACTCTGTTAAATATCTAATCTTGATTACCATAATAAGTAAATAAAACCTCAAGTTAATGACATGCATTTTATGCATCAGAATAATGCAAGGAAATAATACTATATATTCTTTTTATATTCGTTTTTTCAAAAGAACACTTCCATGGTCTTATTTATACCTTCCTTGTTTTTAATGGTTATTTAAGATGTGTTTTTATTGTTTTATTGAAAGCCATTCAAAAATGGGCGATCATATAAATTATATACCAAGCTTCAGCAATAACATGTCCTAATGAATTCTGTGGCTCTTCGTTAAATAAAAATGCACCCTTTTTCTTTTAAAATGACCAAACTCTTCAGAAATTACCAAATCCCACTGTTCCGGGGTGAAACTTGAAGAACAAACTGCTGAAATTGTGCAATACCTGGGGAGCTCAGGAGGGGGAGCCCTCCATCCCTCTCATCTCAGGTATCTGAACCAAGGCTCCCCAAGTGGGACATCAGCAAAAGCGGCCACCACCACCACCCCACTCCCCTGCACTCACCAGAGGCTCCAATTCCTTGTTGTCTATGAGATTGAACTCTTTTACAAAGTAGTAGAAGTGCTTGTAGCATGTATTCACGTGGGCTTCTGAGCCCATCTGGGCGATACGGTCAAAGTGGTGGATGTAGACATGGACAAAGACGCGGAAGAGACGAGAGAGGATCTTTTTCACAACCTGGAGGAAGTTCTTAGGAAATGGAGTACCTGTGGAAGACCACGACAATTAATTTTGCTTCCTTCTTCCCTCCCTCCTTTTCCCATCTTCCTCCCTCCCTCCCATTTCTTCCCTTCCTTCCTTTCTCCTTCCCATCTCCTCCCTCACTCCCTCCTTCCCTCCCATCTTCTTCCTTCCCTCCCATCTCCACCCTTCCTTCCTTCCCTCCCTCCTTCCCATCTCCTTCCTCCCTTCCTCCCATCTTCTTCCTTCTTCCCTCTCTTCTTCCTTCTTTCTTCCCACCCATCTCCACCCTTCCTTCCTTCCCATCTCCTTCCTCTGATCTTCTTCCTTCTTCCCTCTCATCTTCTTCCTTCTTTCTTCCCTCCCATCTCCACCCTCCCTTCCCATCTCCTCCCTCCATTCCTCCCATCTTCTTCCTTTTTTCTTCCCTCCCATCTCCTTCCTTCCCTCCCTCCCTCCCTCGGTTTATTTAATCAATTTATCATATCCACAGCAAGAAAGATGGCAGACAATTTAGGTAACTAGGCCAGTATTAAGTATGCAAGTTGCATATTCCCAAAATTGGAGAGTCCCTTTCCAGCACCCAGTAAGAGGAAATAAAATAAGGAAAAGGAGTCTTGGGTTATATTACTCTGTAGCTAAAATAGGTAACTATTATTTAAGATTTTACCAAGATATAAACTGAGTTTAGAACACTGTGCTGAACACTAATCTGAGAGTTCAGTCAGTTGTGGCTTAGTCAACAGACTAATTTAGAATTAAGCAAGCAAGCGTGAAGGCAGCTGTAGAAAAGACGAATCAATATCCATCATGGAGTGCAAAGGCAGCGTGTGTGTGTGTGTGTAATTAAGAGAAGGGAATGAAGGAAGCTGCTAGCTTATAAAATTTGACAAGGAACATCATGGATTATATATTACCTGAAACCCAGTTATCTGAGTTCTGGTTTGAAATGTAATAATTTATTAAATCTGTCTGCTGCCCAACTCTCAACCGCTGAGCATTTTTCCCCTTTTCACCTCTGGAACTGAAGTCGCCAATCACAGGAATAATCAAAATTTCATGAAACTGAATCCTCTCATGATTGCAACCATTAAAAAAAAAACACATTCTGGGCCCCACAGCTTTTGCACAAAGCCACGTAATGGAATCAGCACTCAAAATGCAGATTCCTTTCTATATGTAAGTGGCTCCATTCATGAACTGCTTTCATTGTTCAGCAATTTCTTCTGTGTTTTAGCCAATATTTGTCTTGGGGAATCTTATGTTCCTTAAGAGCTGCCCCTGCCAGTCCAATCCATCTGTTTTTACTTTCATCTTTTCAACCACTTAAAAAGGGTTCTTATAGAGCAGGGCCGTCAAACTCCTGGCCCATGGGCCAGATGTGTCACACTCTGACCATCCTACACCCCAATTTAGTGAAGGAGGAAAAAAATCCCAAAATGTCACGTGATGCTGCCATGACAATGTGAGTCTGACACCCGTTTAGAGTCTCAACCCATTGCATTTGTTCAGCCTCCTGTAGGCATCCCCAGTGACACGCCTAAAAGACAGTTTCAATCACACCATTCCTGCATTTCTTAACTTTTCTAAACATACTAGAAAGCCCGTGTATCTAGCACTTCATCCAAGCTTAGATCTCATCCCGCCCCCCAAAAATATCTAATTAAGATAAAGGTTCCCCTCGTGCTAGTCATTTCCAGCTCTAGGGGGTGGTGTTCATCTCCGTTACAAAGCCGAAGAGCCAGCGCTGTCGGAAGACGTCTCCGTGGTCATGTGGCCAGCATGACTAAATGCCGAAGATGCACGGAACGCTGTTACCTTCCCACCAAAGGGGTCCCTATTTTTCTACTTGCATTTTTTTTAACGTGCTTTCGAACTGCTAGGTTGGCAGAAGCTGGGACGAGTAACAGGAGCTCACTCCATTACGTGGTGCTAGGGATTTGAACTGCCGACCTTTCTGATCGACAAGCTCAGCGTCTTAGCCACTGAGCATAAAAGCAGAGTTTAATGATTACATGTAGTCCTCAACTTGCAACCATTCATTTGTTCAAAGCTACAATGGCACTGAAAAAGTGATTTACGATTGGTTCTTATACTTATGACTGTTGCAGCATCCCTCCTGTCATATGATTAGAATTCAGGCACTTGGCAACTGGTATTTATTTAAGACAGTTGTAGTGTCCCAGGATTATGCAATCACCATTTGCACCCTTTTCAAGCTTGACAAGCAGTCAATACAGAAAGCTTGATTCGCTTAAGAACTGCACAACTGTAATGACTCACTTAAAAACTATGGCAAAAAGTGTCTTAAAATCAGGGGTGGATCACTTAACCTTCTTTAGCAAATTCTGGTCCTAGTTGTGGTTCTGTTGTTAAGTCGAGACATTTGCTAAAAGAGTTTTCCCCCATTTTATGAACTTTCTTGCCATAGTTCTTAAATGAATCACTGCAGTTGTTAAGTTAGTAACACTGTTGTTAAGTGAATCTGGTTTTCCCATTGACTTTGCTTGTCAGGTCACAAAAGGGGACTCCAGGACATGGCAACCATCATAAATATGAACCAATTTCCAAACATCTGAATTTTGAGATCATGTGGCCGCGGGGATGCTGCAAAGGTTTGTGTGAAAAACAGTCATAAGTCGCTTTTTTCAGTGCTGCTGTCAAGTTGACCAGTCATTAAATGAACTGTTGTAAGTCAAAGACTACCAGTAGTTGTAATCCTATGACTATTAACTATAGGTAGTCCTCGACTTAGAACCTCAATTGAACCCAAATTTTTTTGTTGTTAAGCAAAACATTGGTTAAGTGAGTTTTGCCTCATTTTACAAAACTTTCTTGCCCCAGTTGTTAAGTGAATCATTGCAGTTGTTAAGGTGTCAGGGCTCCAACAAATCCACCCTCAATCCAACCTCATTCAAAAGTCTCTAGCCGCATCTCAGAGAAAAGAAAATTGATTTATTAGAGGCTGCCATGTTGGCACGTGGCTGGGTGCAGCCAATACTAAATTACATCATACATTTCCCCCTTGACCCTGGTCTTCCCCCCCACCCCCTGGGTGTGACTTCTGCAATGGGACACATACATCTCCAAGAGTCATCAATCATGACCTCCAATAACCTTCTTATGCTCCGACAAGTTTGGGCTACTGGGATGATTATCTAGGCATTTAAGGAATGCACTGTTTTCCCCCACTCCCTTTTTCTGGCAGCTAAAAAGATGAAAGGAGTATCTTTTTAGTTGACGTAAGGTAATAATACAGCTGCTAAGTGAATCTGGTTTTCCCATTGACTTGGCTTGTCAGAAGGTTGCAACAGGCGGTCACATGACCCCAGTTACTAAATGACCCCGGTTACTGTCAAGGGCTAGCTGTGCACAATTGCATTAGTCATTTTTTGCATTGGCTCCACACCATAAATCTTACATTCATTTTCTGATCAATTCTGTAATTTTCTTCCTGTTTTTTTTTCAACCTCTTCCCAACCAACTCACCAACGTTCGTAGGGAAGAGATCCTCGTTGTTGATCTGCACTTCAATCCAATCCATGAGAAGGTTCATGTATTTAGGCGCGGAGAGGGCAGTGGGCTTACGATATTTCTCATCCTGCCACCGATACTCGTACTTTGGACCGCCAGACATGACGGGGCAGGATTTTTCCGTGCAATAATCACTGATTGTCCCATAGATGAGGTTGATGCGGTTGAAGAAGTCCACCACGTGAACAGCTACCCAATCGTTCAGCTCCTCATCGTGAGGGAGCTGCACAGCCAGCTTTAAATCCAGCCCAGCATTCAGGGAGGCCTGGGCCTTTTTGTGAAGCTCAAAGCGCTGTGTCCCAGGTTCAAATTTCCGTTTAGGCCGGAAGGTCCGATCCTTGTTAAAAACTTGTTTCAAAGGATTGGCCATCTCTTGCTTCCCCAAAGTTTTGAAGATCTAGAAATCCACCACCACGTGCCTCTCCAGGAGTGTGATCACTACAACCAACACCACCTTTAAATCTCCTTTGGAATTCCACTGGTGAACTTTGCAATCTGCAAGGCAAAAACATATAAAAGGAAGTTTGAGAGAAGTGGGAAAGGACGGTTTCAAAATAAATTCTAAAATTTGGTTCTCCGGGTACATCTTTTATATTCTGTTCAAACTCCCTATTCTGTCCTGTACAAAGGCAGATAGATAAACTCCACAAAGCATCCATACAAAGTCTTTTTTTATTGGTTCATCAGGCATCCTCAATAACTCACAGTTATGACAAGATTCTTCTCAATGTCCAATCCTTTGCATATCTGTCTTTCTGGGTAAAAAGATGGTTATCTCTTATCCCTTTCATCCCATATCGCAGAGGCAGGGGGTAGAGATGCTACCATGAGGCTGTGTTCAGGCAAGAGTGAAGAAACCTCCCCCAACCCACCAAGGGTCAATCCAGTGACCAAACAGGGTTACATATGTGGCCACATGACATGAACTACATTTCTCAGGATACCTTAACTACATTTACCATGATGCATTCCCTTAAGGGGACAGCTCTCAATTCATAACTAACTATCCCAAATCCCATTAACTCTAAACTGTCTGGACAGCACACTCCCATTTAAAAAAACCAAGATAGAATTGGGCAGTATTTAGATACGTGACTGGGTGCCTTCATGGGAATGCAACTTTGAGAAAAAGAGTCACAATAAGTAAGACATACACAACAGCAATAGAGATAGATATCAATTTACAATCCTAATGGAGCCTGCCTATTGTAGCAATAGCACTTAGTCTTATATTACAGAGTCAGCCTATTGCCTCCAACAATTTCGGTCCTCATTTTACCAACCTCAGAAGGCTGAGTCAACCTTGAGCCTGGTGAGATTTGACCTGCCAAATTGCAGGCAGCTGGCAGTCAGCAGAAGCAGCCTGCAGTACAGCACTCTAACCCAGGGGTCCCCAACCACCGGGCCCTGGACCGGTACCGGTCCATGGATCATTTTCTACCGGGTCGCCGGTTTGCGCCACCATCTTATTTCGACAGAAAGTGCTTCCGGGTGAGCTTTTCCGGTTGGAAAGCGGCGTTTGGGTCCTGAAGGAATCCTCGCACCTTAGTTTCATCAAAGGGGGGGGGCAGCTTCGAACGAAGAGCTGTCCCGATGGCGGAGGAGATCAAAAAAGCACAAAAAAGGTACAAAGGAGGAGTTGAAGGTGGCGGGGAGAAGCGGGGGACAGCTGGCTGGCCGGTCGCTCGGCTTGCCTTGCCTTGTCATGATGCCGGTACCGGGACGTGAATCATTTTGTGATGCCAGTACCGGGCCGTGGCACAAAAAAGGTTGGGGGCCACTGCTCTAACCACTGCGCCACCACGGTTTATTATGGTTGTAAGTCGTGACATCCATGCGACTGATCCGATTTTACGACCTTCTTAAGCAAACACTGTGGTTGTAAAAACAAATCCATTGTTTGTTATGGGGCGTTTTTGCCAAAAACCTGTTTCAGCAAAAATGCAGCGTAAAAATATGGTCCTGAAACTATGGAATATTGCAAATGACCATAAACATGGGTCTGCTGTCAAGTACCTGACATGCTTGGTCACGGCATGTGACTGCAGGACAGTGGCCATCATAACTTTGGAACCAGGTCATAGGTAGCTCTGGGGAAGCCCTTCATAAGTTTGAATGGTCATAAATCGGAACTAGCTGTACTATGAATGACTTGTGCAAGAAGGAAAGCATTCTCAGCCTCAGAGAAAAAGTGAGGGACTCTTGATTTCTTAGCATCTTCTCTGACTTGAAGAATCTTCATTGCTTTTAAGCTTCCCACATTCCTAACCTTCTGCACATATCACTGAATAAAAATAATAGAAGTTACTCCAGAGCGTAATAGCTGTGAGGGGAGCCTGACTGAGAAAATGAGGGGAAGGGTAACAAAAAGACACCCCCTCTTCTAAAACCAGCTGTTTAATTCCTTTAAGTTTCCTTTAATTGCTTCCCACTCAGTGGCCTTAGAAGAATCTTGCCCCGTCTGATAATTTTCCAGGGGTGTGTGTGTATCTGAATTGAAGATAATCATATCCAAAACCCAGCATCTGGTATCCATCATGGAATGCTTGCCAGACCATGTGTCATGCCCCTGTTGGGAGTCTGAATCCGAGAAGGAAGCCAAACAGCTGACAGGGCATGGGAGTGTGGCTCCGGTTGACTATGGAGGAGGTTGGGGAAGGGCAAAGACCCGCTGGGCAGAGCAGGGAGAGGTAGAATAAGGGAGAGGGAGTTCAGAGGAAGACCCAGGCCCACCCCCTCTTCATCCTAGGGCACACAAGGAGGAACGGAGAAGAGAGCAACGTGGGTTGCGTGGCTTACGGGGGAGGAAAGGGCCCTGATTCCCTTCATTAGCCACAGCTAGGAAGACAGTTGATAAGAAAGGCAGGCTGCGTGAAGCCGGGAGCAAACGTGATTTATCCTGTGTTGTCGTGGCTTATCTGTGTTCCTAGCATCTTCCCAACCATGTGAGTTTTGCTGTGTCTTCAAGTCTGAAATTCTTGCTCCTGCCCTGCCAAACTAATTACTTCAGTTTGGCTTGTTTGGACTTTAAGTTAGTTTGAGTTGACCATGTTTTGGATTTAATTTTCTGCAGTCAAAGGCTGTTCCTGGGAGAGTTTTTCTCCAGCCAGAAGGTAACCTGGACATTGGGGGCAAAGTTGGAAATAATAAAGGGACTCTTATTGATTATCTGACTGGGTTGCCTTTGTGCCACACCCCAGGTCATCACACCATGTGAGCAAAGCCTAAAGTTCATTCCCAGTACAGCTAGACTTCCTCTGAACATGGAGTTTCCTTATCTGCTTCTCAGCCCTGGGTATAGACTCAGCCCCAATCTATCCAAGTTCCCTTTGGATTGCCTCCGTTGGCTACTGAACAGACCTCTGTGAGAAAGCCACAAAGGGCCAGTTTATCCTTTCCACAAACTGATATGCACAGGTAGACATCTCCTAATGTTGGACGTTCCACCGTTCCTGTTTGGGGAGAACCTATTGGCCATATGTATAAATATCCCAAATAACTCTTCATCCAATCTCATCCAGAAAGCCACGTTTTGAGAAGACTCCCCTAATTCTCCAAAAGGCCTCTCATCAGAATGCAGCCTGGGAGCAAGTACATAGAAGGCAGCAGAAGACAAATGCTGTGACTCTTCGTTTACTCAGAAACCACCCAGAGTCTGCCATCACCGCATCCTGTAAGCACCCATTTCTGTTCTGTTAAGAAAGCGGAAATCCAGTGAACGTTTACCCAACTTGCAAAAAAAAAAGGAGAAGAGAGCAAAAGGCCTCCTTTCGAAGCTCAAGACAACAAATTACTAATTTTCCTCTGAAATGAACTCGTTGGCTGCAATTTAGCTCAGTCTTTCCTAAACAACTCTCTTTCTCTCTCCCCTCTGAGTCCAATCACCATAATCCATAGCAACATCAAAGATCTTGGCCAGCTGACATTATGGGATGCTGGAGGAATGGGAGAAGGCCCAGCTGTGGGTTGTGGTAACAGGAAAAAAAATAGGGAGAGGGAGTGCCATTTTGAGCTCCTGAAGGAAAGGGAGATTATAACTTCAGGAAACAAAGAAAACTTGTATTACAGAGATTAAAGAGTCTGGGGTAAGGAAAAAAAAACATATCTCAGTTTACAGTCTGTTTGGTGCTGGCCTAAGATTTCCAGGAAATGCATAAGCCAGGCTTAAAAGCAATATCCTTCCCTTCTTGCATGATGTGGTAACTAAGGTAGACTGACTGTGCTCAGGGTGGATCCATTCCATTGTCAAATCTATCTATCTAGTCATCACCTGAGACTTTCAAGAAGAGATTGGACTGCCATTTGTCAGAAATGGTGTAGGCAGGGTCTCCCGCTTGGGTGGGGGGTTGGACTAGATGACCTACAAGGTCCTTTCCAACTCTGATTATCATCTATCTATCTATCTATCTATCTATCTATCTATCTAATCTAATCTAATCTAATCTAATCTAATCTAATCTAATCTAATCTAATCTAATCTAATCTATCTAATCTTCCATCCACCAATCTTCTACCATCCATCCACTTATTATATTTTTATTCCTCCTTTATTCCTTATAAGAAATTCAAACTCAAGGCAGGGAACATACATAATATTCCTTCATCCTCCTCTTGTCCCCACACAACATCAACCCTGTGAAGTGGGTTGGGCAGAGAGAAGTGACTGGCCCGAAGTCACCCAGCTGGCTGGATGAGAACTCACAGTGTGTCCTACTTACTAGGCCAGCATCTTAGCCACTACTCTAAACTGGCTCTCCATCATACAACACATGGATATGACTTGCTTGTAATTCACTGCATTCTGAAATCCTCCTCTTCTTTGAGTTTTGGATAACTCAAGGCAGTTTGCGTAAGGCTGCCACCAATTTCCACATATAACAACAACCCTGTGAAGCAGATTCGTCTGAGAGGGGGGAGAATTGTCTCAAAATCATTCAGCTGGTTTTGATGCCTAAGGAAGACACTCACGATCTTCCAATGTCCGGGCCAGCATCTTATCTACTACATCAGGGGTCTATGTTGGCTGGGGAATTCTGGGAGTTGAAGTCCACAAATCTTAAAGTTGCCACGTTCTGTGACTCCTGCACTACACCAAACTGGCTCTGGGTTTGAATAACGCCAATGAGAAATTCAGGAAGGAACTCATCCCAACTGAAACAGAGACAGCAGAATTTATCTCGAGCTGCTGACCAGGCAACACGTTTGTTTATTGACTGTTTCTAAGCAACTCCACATCTGTGGTTCTCTGGATGCTGTGCACAATTGAGGTTTACGTTATGCAGAGAAAACTGCCACCACCAAAAACATCAGAAACTTGGGCACGTCTAGACTAATGAAGGACTAGGGCTGACATGATAGCAGTGTTCCAATATCTCAGAGGCTTCCACAAAGAAGAGGGAGTCAAACTATTCTCCAAAGCACTTGAGGGCAGGACAAGAAGCGATGGGTGGAAACTAATCAAGGAGAGAAGCAACCTAGAACTAAGAAGAATTTTC